TGTCTGGGGATGATAAGCGGTGCTTAGAGCAACTCGAGATCCCAATTCTCATTGCATACTCGCCCAAAAGTGAGAAGTGAAGCGAGTATCATGATCGGAAATGATCTTTAGTGGCACACCATGTCTTGCAACAATTTCATCCAAGTATACTTGTGCGTATTTCTCCATTGGAGTCGTTTCACGCATGGTGAGAAAATGTGCACTCTTAGTCAGGCGGTCGACGATTACCCAAATGCTATCATGCTGTCTAGTAGTCTTTGGCAATTTGGTAATAAAATCCATGGTATCTCTTCCCACTTCCATACAGGAACAATAAGGCTTTCTGGAGTTCCGTAAGGATTTTGGTGCTCTGTTTTGACTTGTAAGCATACTAAGCATTCTTGTACATATCTTCCAATGTCTCTCTTTAATCCAGGCCACCAGTAATCAGCTCTTACATGATAGTACATTTTGATTGTACCAGGATGTATTGACAACTTAGACATATGAGCTTCATCTAAAAATCTTCTGTCTTAATCCACCAATCTTTGGAATCCATAGCTGATTCTTAAATACTTTTAATCCTCGTGGATCATCAAGTAAAACATCAGCATAATGTACCATTCCTTCCTTCTTCACATTTTCTGACTTTAAGGCCTCAAGTTGCCACTTCTATAGGTCATCAAGAATAGTGAACTTCACCGTAGTGTGAGTAATAGTATAACACATACTATTATGATAAACTTTCCTGCTAAGTGCATATGCAACCACATTAGCCTTTCCAGGATGGTACATGATTTCACAATCATAGTCTTTGATTAGCTCCATGCCTCGTTGTTGTCTCATATTCAGATTTTGCTGACTGAATATATACTTGAGACGCTTGTGGTCGGTAAACAATTGGCATTTTATACCAAAAAGGTAATGTCTCCAAAGTTTTAGGGCAAATACCACTGCAGTGAGTTCAAGATCATGGGTGGGATAATTCTTTTCATAATCTTTCAGTTGTCTTGAGGCGTAGGCTATCACTTTACCACGCTGCATCAATACACAACCGAGTCCTAATCTTGAAGCATCGCTATACACGAAGAAATCATCATCACCTTCTGGGAGTGATAAGATGGGAGCATGAGTCAAAAGATATTTTAGAGTTGAGAAAGCTTTTTCTTGGGCTTCATCCCATTCGAACTTCACTTCCTTCCGTGTAAGACATGTGAGAGGTACGGCTATACGAGAAAAGTTTGTAATGAATCTCCGGTAATATCCCGTGAGACCTAAGAAACTTCAAATTTCGGAAGCATTACGGGGTACTTCCCAATTATGAATGGCTTCGATTTTGATAGGATCTACGGATACACCGTCACTAGAAATAACATGGCTGAGAAATTGAACTTGACGAAGCCAAAATTCACATTTTGAGAATTTAGCATAAAGTTTCTCATTTCGAAGAAGTTCTAAGAATTCAAGAATATGAACGGCATGATCGGCTTCAGAATTGGAATAGATTAGAATATCGTCAATGAATATGATGACAGACTTATCGAGCATTGGGTGACATACTCGATTCATTATATCCATGAATACAACAGGAGCATTTGTCAAACCGAATGGCATGGAAAGGAATTACCCATAACGAGTACGGAAAGCAGTCTTTGGTACATCTTGATCTTGTACTTTCAACTGATGATAGCCAGATCTCAAATCAATCTTTGAGAAATAGCTAACACCCTGAAGTTGATCGAACAAATCGTCGATGTGAGGTAGCAGGTACTTCTTCTTGATTGTCACCTTATTCAGCTGACGATAATCAATGCACATTTGTGTCGATCCGTCCTTCTTCTTGACAAACAATACTGGAGCACCCCATGGATAGGTACTTGGTCGAGTAAAGCCTTTGTCAACTAATTCCTGCAGTTGGATCATCATTTCTTTCATCTCGACTGGCGCAAGACGATAAGGAGTCTTTGCAATCGGAGCAGCACCAGGCACAAGGTCAATTCGGAATTCTACTTGCCTATCCGCAGGAAGTCCAGGCAGATCATCGGGGAAAACATCAGGATATTCGTTGACAATGGAAATATCATTTACAGTTTTATTCTCCTTTCTTGAGATGCCAATTGTATAAGCCAGATAGATAGGGCAACCTTTCGATATGAATTTACGAGCATTGAGGAAAGAGATTATCTATAAGATCCTTTGTTCACCGTAGACATGAATAGGATCTTCCCCTTCAATAGGAATGCATACCGTCTTTTCGTAACACAAGAATTCTGCATGGTTCTATGACAACCAATCCATGCCGAGAATAATATCGAAATTAGGCAAAGAGATAGGGATTAGGTTAGGAGAAAATTATAGCCTTCAATTTTATGACACAATCCCTATAGATTTTATCATCAAGTAATGATATACTTCGTGCAGTTTCTACGTGAAATGGTTGCGCGAGTACATAGCAAAGAGTTTGAAAAGAATGCACAAATTCATAAGATACGAAAGAATCTGAGGCACCATAATCAAATAAGATGTGAGAAGGTCTAGAGTTGACAAGAAATGCACCCGTCACAACATTTGGGTTCTCACATGCTTCCTCTGTGGTAATCTAGAATGCACGACCCTTAGCTTTTGGCACCTCCTCCTTTTTAGCTGGAGTATTCTTTGCTTGTTGGATAGGGACTTGACTTCTCGCCGGTTGTTGAATAGAAGCTTGACTTCCCGTCACTTGGCTGGAAAGAGTAGGGCAAAAATGCTTCTTGTGGCCAGTAATACCACATGCATAGCAATTCATATCCTTCCTTGGGCAAGCTGGCTTTATATGACCTGTTTCTCCACACCAATAACAGACAATGGATTCCTTGTCTATTTTGCATTAGCCTGGATGATTCCTTCCACAAACGCGACATGAAGGCGATTGAATAGAAAAACATTGTAACCTACTGTTGCCACAAAAAGCACTTTGAGATTGTGCTTGCTTGCTATGATCAGTTCGAACAGATTGAGATGGTGGAATAGTGGAAGGAGGAGTAGTTCTTTCAGTACGTGGATGCTTTGGAATAGTAAGAGTGGCACCACTTATCTCTAAGTCATGTTCACGCCTTCGAGCATACTCAATAGCTTTATCAAATGACAGAACATCCCGATTGACAACGAAATCATGGATTTCGTGTCGTAGTCCCTCCATGAATAACTAAATTTTCTCGTCTTCAGTTGGAATATACTTCGTAGCAAACCTTGCTCTTTGATTAAACTGAGTTTCATACTCATTCACAGTCATTCCTCCTTGTTTAAGCTTGAAGAATCAAAGAATCAAGTATGAAATGAATTATAGAGTCAATTCAAAGTAAGTATGCGAGATATGAACACCGATGTAAATATGATCTATTTGTCTCTGTTACGCTTTATCAAAGTTTACAGATTACAAAGAATATTCTGTAAAGACTTTTTCTTACTAAGACACTAGTAACTACTCCTATTTATAGGAGAGGAAAGCGTACAAAAAATATACTAAGGACTAAAACATTAAACTTCGAATATTATGCCTTAGTAAAATAAAATACAGAAAGATTTGAAGACTCTAAATACATACTTCGACTATTACAACACTTTGACTCTAACAATCTCCCCCTTTGTAATAAAAGTCGAAGTCTTCAGTTTGTAAGTAGAGTGATGGAGAAAGCAAAACTCTTCGAACTTCTGTGTACCATGAAATGATCTTCTTCATTTCCTTCTTATCGCCTTCATTACTCTTTTTATGGTGGTTCATACGAACAATTAAGTTCGTATATTGAGATGTTGAATATCTCTCCACTTCACTAGCTTGAAACAAAAATCTCTTCGCTTTTCCAGCTTTATCCTTCCCAGCAAAAACAATTCCAAATGGCTTTAAACATATCTCTCCATCTGCATACTTCTTTAACTCAGCCTGAGTTAATGGAGAAGCCATTGGAACTTTAATTTTCATCCCCTTCGCAGTTGCCAGCTCCACATCAGTTAGTGCATGGCACTCATAATAGTTTTCAATGAAAATCTTGATGTGAGCAACTCCAAGTTTGAATTCTTCAGGATTAGTATTTTGCAAAAAGGAGAAAGACTTGTCTTTAAGAAGCAATGAAACTTGTATAAGACCATACAAGTTCATTAGAGGAAAGTCAACAATAGTGAATTCGCATGTTTTCCCATTTGCCCTGGCCACAATATATTTAACATTTTGAACAAGATTTTCGAAGACCACATCTTTCTTCATGCTAATCACCTTTTTAATCTTGATTAGTGACCAGACTTCCTCAGGTGCTTTCCCAAGAACATCATGAAATCTAATCTTCATTTTGGTTCCTTCATCCTTTCCCTTGAAATTCCCTTCTGCTTTAAATTGGGGCATGATAAACATCATCTCATTGATAGGGAAATCCAATTGGCAAGCATCAGTGTTTGTAACAACATAAATCTGCTTTGGCTTCTTTTCAAATGAGTACATGTAGTTAAAGGCAACAAAGGCTTCGATTGTTTCATAATTGTAATGCTTAGCTGGATCACCTTTGTTCATACCCTTCGGATCTCCAGCCCTCTGAGTCATGATGCTTTGAACAAGCCTCATTCTCTCGAGTTCGGCTTCAGCTTCAACCTTCTTTTCTTCCTTGGATTTTTCAATTAAGCTTGATTTACATTTGTCTTTCGAAGCAGATTTTTCAGCTAAGTCTTTTGGCTTCGAACCACTCCCACCAGACTCCAAAGGTTTACCAATAACAATTCCTTTAGAAATTGTTCGTGTAGTTGGAAATGTTGTAACAACAATTGGAGTCACTAGTTGAGCAAACACAAATACTGGCTTCATCGAAGGAATGTTCGAAGAATATACCTTGCCCACAACTTCCGCTTCTTATTCTGTGGACTCCTTTTCTCCCCCTTGCACCCATATGAAAACAGGAGGGGCAGTTGTTGCGGGAAGAAGACTGGATATGCGAATGAGTGGAGCAAGTTGCTTGTTAAGAATAGCTTCGAACTGCACCAACTTTTCGGACAAACATTCAAGAGTAATCAATGGAGATGAAATTGGTTTTGTAGATATCTCCTTCAGCGCTTTCAACAGCTTCACCACTCCTTCAAAATTTTTAGCTTCAGATTTGGAGATTTGAGCAATTTGTGGACTCAAACCTTTATACATTTTAACAAATTTGGTGACAGCATCACATATGATATCGACCTTCTGATGTAAGGACGCATAATCATGTTGAACAGATATATAATTTCTCTATTCATTTGTTCATGAGGCTCTTGAATTTTCAAATTCACATCCTCTCTCACCTTCTTAACCTCATGGACAAAAAGAACATGTCTTTCTTTTGCTATACTTCTTAAATCTTTCACTTCCCCCAGAAAATCATTTCTTTGATTTTTAAGATGTAGCTCAGTGTTTTCATCTGAATAATCAATCTTCTCCATAAGCACAATCTCTGAAGCCTTCAACATCCCTAATACTTTGGCAATTATTCTGGATTCGCACATCTTTAGCATTGAATCAACCTCCAGACTAGAAATTGATGAACCTCCTCCAAGATCAGCTTGGGATTGAATAATGGAGTTCAACTTTTTATTCAAGATCTTGTATTGTTTCATCATCATGAGCATGTGATCAGGGAAATCTTGTTCTTCATCTTGAAATTCCAAGTCTTCAAATGTTCCTCCAAACCCTTCATGATCAGTTTCAGTGGGTGAAGTTGGTTTAGGGGTTTCAGTTGATTGAGAAGAGAACATGGAAGTGATTGGGTGATTGAGGATGTGTTCAAAGGTTACATATATAGTAGTTGAAGTAGAATGAATGGTTGATGTTGGTGGAACAGAAATGAAAGTTTCAAAAGGAGTATAGATAACAGAGCCTTGAGCTGCATCCTTCGAAACATTTTCACCCAAGCCTGAAGTTCGTACCTCCTCAACAAGTGAATTGGCAATCGAAACTTCAGGGGTGAATATGACCGTGGTCTCTGGAATTGAGCTTGTAAGAATAGTGGTCTCTGGAGTTTCTGGTACTCGCTCATCTTCTTCAGTAGACTCATTTGATAAAACAATCTTCCTAGACTTCTTCGTCTTCTTCTTTGTTAGTTGGGATAAATGTTTAGCCATATCTTCGGCTGCCCTTTTCTTGGATGCAGGAGAAACAGGAACCGGAACCTCACGAAACATTACACCTTGAAAAGAAAGTTGAGGTTTGTGAAGCAGTTTCATAGATGAAGATTTGCGTTTGTGCTTGGATTTCATCTTGATTCTTCGAAACATCCCTATTTTCGAAGGAATCACCACATCTTCTTGTGACTCTTCCACAACTGGTGTAATCACTATTGTTGCTTCGACTGCCATAGCAACAGTTTCTGACATCTGCTTTGTGGATTTGGATGAGATTGAACTCTTCGCTTTCTTCGCAAGAGAAGTAGGCTCATCTTTCTTTGACTTCTTAGTCTTCTTGGCTTTGCGTGGTAGTAAAATTCCCATAGGAATAGAAGAATCAAAATTTTTTACATATGCCTGCAAGACAGGATTCGAAGGATTCACTCTTTTAAGCATTGCATCGGGAATCCGAGCAACACTTGGAAATTCATCAGCATCATCAACGACCTCCTTTGGAAAATGATAAGATTGAAAAGTAACCTTTTCATATTCATTAGAAACCAGAATACCTTCTTTGTTGTAGAAATGTTGTAAAATGAGACTCCAGTACCGAGCACATGAAATGCTATGGACAACATTTGTGTGTTCTACCCCTTTCTGGAACTCCTGCCATAGTTGTGTTGAATAATCAGCAAGAAGATCATAGTACAGACCAGCCACCATGGCGTATATCTCCATTCTTCCTTTATCCAAGCCAACTGTTCTTCCGGTTAGACAACGCAAAAATATTCCAAACAAAAAGTTCCATATTTTTGAAAGACCAGACTTTTTAAAATCACTGATCTTTGATAATGGGGGCTGATATCCCATTTCATTAAACATTTGTATGATCTGAGAGAATTGAAATTCAAGAAATGGAGGTGTATTTGGAATATCAAGAATCTGGCATAACATTTTCTTGGAAAGCCTAACCTTCTTATCATTGATTAAAAGAAAGGTAATCGAATCAGTAGTTTTATTGTAGGTAGCTGTTGATCCTGCTTGAGAAAGCCAGGATAATGGAACAGAAAAAGAGTTGAACATTGCTTTTGATAATACAGAGTGTTTTAGTGTAACAATTAACGTTTTGAATTCCTCTGGACACTATCAGAGTTCACCATTGACATAATAATTGGTAGATTGAATCTTCATTATTGGTACTGAGGATGTATCTTCAGTGGAAACATCAACATGAGAAGTAGTCAACATTGTTAGGGTTTGAAGAAGATGAAGAATAGAGAACTTGGGTAATTTTGGAGTGTATGATCGCGTAAACATAGAATGTACTCTGAACCCCCTTTTATATGTAATGCTGGATTATTTGAATTTGAAGCGGGATGAATTTAATGAAAACCAACATGGCACCTTGAAAATCAGACCAGTTCTACGGAAAGTTAGCCATGTGTTAAAAAGAGTCTGTCACATCTCCTAGAAAACCAGGTTGAATACCATACATCACGGTTACACAGCCTGTCACAATCCCCTTTATTGAATAGTAACTGTTAGAACCCTTCGAATGGAGGCAAGGCTCTTTCACTTTTGGGATGAAACGCGAAGTCATATGTCAGATGTTCGAAATCATTAGCCTGAGTTGGTATTACTCAGAACTTCTTCGTGTGTGAAGTGTGCCAAAGAAAGGTTAGACAAGAAACAATTAAAAATATTTTGTAATGTAGTGATGTCAAAAATTCAATTTGACACAAATGCAGATAAACCCCAGGCAAAGGCTGCTTCGTTTATCATCAAGAAAGATGATCAACAGCTTGTGTATGTTCCCGTGAAGTAGAAACGACTACTTTTTGATAAGCATCAAAGGGCTTCTTTTACAAGTAATTCTTGGGTTTAAAATTTCGTTACATGTCATCCTAAACATAAGGTGATAAATTGTAACAGAAATTACTTGTTTGACCAGTGTAGTTAGTGACAAGTTTGCTTTGAAAAATATGATCATGACAAGGATATGCGAATGAAACTTACACTGAAATCATATTCTTAAAAAAAATTATGTTCTGGATCTTGTTGGGTAACAAACATCTTGGGTTTCGAATGTTTGATCAAGACCACGCATTCGAAATGAATATGATTTGGAGTTTCGAATTTTGGTACAGAAACAAAAGTTTTGTTAATATCTGGAACAATGTTCCTCGTCAATTCCTTAAGTTTCAAGATATTTGGGTTTCACTTTCATCACAGATTCATGATGTCAGATCATTAACACAGAATTTTATATGTCTAAGTCTCGATGGGTTTGATCAGAGACCTCTCGGGCATACGTCTTTGTGTGTGATCATGTAAGAATGTCTTGATGAAAAAGATTGGTGTATGACATGAAAAGTACCTCTGTTATGTTTTGGACCAAATAGAAAACTCTTAACTTAGTGTGAGAAGAGTATGGTAGCTCAGAGACTAATGTGAATATAAGCCTGAGTGGGAAGATTTTTCGTATGAAAAAGTTCATTAAGACTTTCGTACACACACATTGAGTCATGGAGGCTTTGGTGGACATGCAACAACATGCTTCTAGGGACAACCTAACTAAGTCGAATAATGAAAAAGATAGTGATGCATACGAAAAAAAAATTACTTGTCCCCAATACTGCTTGCTTTTTCCCTTCCAAATCTTCATCAAAATCTGTAACAAAATTCTCAGAAAAATGAAAAATATTTTTGTTGTTTTTGAATTTTTCGAAAATCAAAAAATATGAAAATCTTTTTGGATTTTTAATTTTTATAAATTTAAAGACAAAACAAAAGAAAATCTATTTGTGTTTTTGATTTGTTGCAAACAAACAAAATTTGACATTCTTTGAAAAGTAACAAATGTATGAATTTGAAGCGTTCGAAGCATTGACTATGAACAGTAACCACTGATGCAAAGCTAAAGATCAGTGACAATCATGCGAATTCGAAGTGGTCGAAGCGTTGACCATGAACAGTAACCGCTGAATGCTAAATAACTTTGTTCATCGCCTCTGACTGATTCTTTTTCGCTTAGTATTCATCTTTTTCACATGGAACATAATTTCCATCAAACATTCTAAGACCTTATATTATTCGCATTAGAGACTTTTCATCCAAAGCTTTCGTGAAAATATCAGCTAACTGATCAGCTATTTTCACGAAATAAACTTTAGTATTTCCATCCTCCACGTGATCTTTAATGAAATGATAACGAAGAGCTATGTGTTTAGTCTTCGAATGCTACATAGGATTATGACAAATTCTTATTGCACTTTGAGAATCACAATATAATGGAATCTTTTTCATATTAATTGCATAATCATGTAATTGACTTTGAATCCATATTATTTGCGAAGTGCATGCAACAGCAACCACATATTCTGCTTTAGTCGTGGAAATCGACACACATGTTTGCTTTTTCGACTGCCAACTGACTAATTTGCCATCAAGTAATTGACATCCACTACTTGTGCTTTTTCGATCAAGATTACAACCACCCAAGTCTGCATCTAAGTATGCTTGAACGAAGAATCCTTTTTTCGAAGGATACCATAATCCTAACGAAATAGTGCCTTTCAGATAAGGAAAAATATTCTTCACAGCAATAAGATGTGGTTCGTGTGGATTAGACTGATACCTAGCACAATTACACACTGAAAACTTGATATCAGGTCGACTTGTTGTAAGATAAAGTAACGAAACTATCATGCTCCTATACAACGTAATATCAACAGCAGGTTTGTCTAACGATGGTGTTAACTTTATGCTCGTTGCCATTGGTACACGAAGCTTTGTGCTATTTGTCAATCCGAACTTTTCAAGCAGATTTTTCGTATATTTTTCCTGATTGATGAAAATCCCTTCTCTATTTTGACGAATATTCAATCCAAGGAAATTATTGATTTTTCCCATCATGCTCATTCCAAACTTGCTTTTCATCAAGTCTTCAAATTCTTTAGATAAAGCAGGGTCATTAGAGCCAAAAATAATATCATCAGCATAAATTTGAACAAGCATAAGATGATTCCCTACTTTCTTTCGAAATACTATAGGATCACCAGATCCTTGTTTAGATTTCGATTGTTTCAAAAATGATGTAAGCGTTGCATACCATGCTCGTGGAGCTTGTTTTAGACCATAAATTGCCTTATCTAAAATATAAACATGATTATGAAATTCTTCGTTAATAAAACCTGGGGGTTGTTCCATATATACCATTTCTTCAAGCTCTCCATTAAGAAATGCACATTTCACGTCCATTTGATAAACATCAAAATCTTTGTGAGCTGCATATGCCAAGAATATTCGAACCGCCTCGAGTCTTGCGACTGGGCAAAAAGTGTCTTCATAATCGATTCCTTCTTTTTGTGAATAGTCTTTTACAACAAGTCTGGCTTTATTTCGAATAATGTTTCCGTATTTGTCGGTTTTATTTTTAAAAATCCATTTTAACCCGACAATCAAAAAAATTTCGGGTTTAGGAATTAATCTCCAAACCTTGTTTCGTTCGAATTCAGACAATTCCGATTGCACTGCAACAACCTAATCTGAGTGTTCCATTGCATTCTTAATTGTTTTTGGTTCAATTTTATAAATGAATACATTAAACATACAAAATTCTTGATGATTATTCAATACCTCACTCTTTGCACGAATTTGAGCTCTTGTTAACACTTCTTCGTGTGGATTCCCAATCACTTGTTCGTTCGGATGGTCTCTAGTCCATTTTTCCATGGGTGGATATGCTGGATCAAATTCCAAAGGAGCATCTTCAAATATTTCATCATATTCTGAGCCTGCATTCGTACATACATCATCAACATGATGCTCCCCTCAACAACATGCTCCCCCTCAATTTTAGCATTCATTTTTTCTTGCTTCCCCTCAATAGAATGCTCTTCATCATTCAAAGTATTCGAATCCAGTTTCTCTTTCTCCAAAGGATTATAATTCATAGGTTCGCCTTCTTGAGGAGTTGATGATGATTCATCATTATGTTTTGACAAGTCTGGAATGTGATTATCAGGAGCATGAACTTCAGCATCAACTGCATGATCTGAGATGCCAAAAATTAAATCATAATCAATATCATCCATTTGTATAGAATCAGTTTCAATTTGTGTTTCTTGTAAAACTGGATAATTCGAAAATTGATGTTCATTTGATTTAACATAATAATCATCGAATGTAAGATTGAACTTTTATTCCTCTTTTCGTGTTCTCTTATTTAACACTTGATAAGCCACTGAATTGTGTGGATATCCAAGAAAAATCCCTTCATCAGCTTTTGCTTTAAATTTCGAAAGATGATCCTTGAGATTCATAATAAAGCACCTATATCCGAAAACATGAAAGAGCTTCACATTAGGTTTTCAATTATTCAT